CTGAGTGCCACTCGGGACCCACTTGTATTTTTATATTGAATTTTATCTCTGTGATAAAATTATGCCATTTTACTACCAGCCAGTGCAACAAGTCTATAGAAATAGTCAATAATCACCTATTAATTTAGCTCTTTCTTACTATCTCATGCCGAATAACTGTTGATTAATTAATTTTCGCCCTTATTATTAAATTTTTTTATCAAGGAATTACCTAAACCAAAAATAAGTCTTCTCAAAAGTGCTAATTTCTTTAATAATTATTGATCTCAAACATTTATCATTTTATTTACTATTATTATAATTTTATTGTCAATTTATTTTCAGAGAATTACAGAATATATTTCCAAACAACAAGCTGCATAATTGTTTATCATATTCGTTTGATATAAAGTAAGCCAGTGTTTAGCGCTTTTCCGCTTCTCTTGCTGTTAAGATGAGGCATTTTTGCTAAGGAATCATGTAGATGAGTCGACCTGGACTTCTTAATGGCATAATGGCAATCTTGCTAGAGGCATGACTGTAATTGAATTTTAACATGGGTGGCAATATCCTGAGCAAATCGGATTGTCATCGATCAGGCAGAATCTTTTTTTAATCAAAATCTGCTTTATTGATAAGGGATTTGAAGCTTCCAACTTATATTTATATTTATACATTTAAATTCTATTCTGCATAAGCACATAGAAAAAATTTCTAATGGATGAACAAATTTTTTCCAGCTATTCATCTTCTTCTAACAGCTCTCACCATTACTGCTTAGGCTGGTTCCGCTGACTACAAGGATAAGATATGTCTAAGTTGCTCGATCCGATGCCATCGCTAATAGTAATAGAAGCCATTCCTTTTTCCATCGTCTATGTTCATATATTGCTGAACCTATATGTTCAAAATCTTTCCAGACCGTATCAGTCCAGATCTTGATTAATTCACCCGCTTTTTGCGCCACCTAACACAAGGTTTAGTAAGTAACAAAATGTGTTAACTTTAGTGGTAGACGGCAGCGAACGTGCTCTCACCAGTGAAAGCGATGCTCTGTGATAATATTTTTAATGCAAGTAGTATTTGAACTAAGATGGATTATGTGAGATTTTATCTTTGGCGAATCCGTAAAATTACTTAGATGTGTGAGGTCAAAGGCAGATAACTTCTTAATATTCTCCACTCTCATTGGCCATGTCTCGCAGCCACATAGTAAGATTGAATCGCGGCTATAACGTTCTTATGGTGATTTTACGACCGCTCCATAAAATGAGGCATTTCCTCTACTAGCAATGAGTAAAAGAAGGGTAAAAGGAGGCTTTTTATCAGCTTCTTGACGAGACGAAAACGCTTTCGTTTTATTTATATTGAGTCCGATTCTAACATATTGTTTGGCGTTATTTGCATTTCATCATAACAGTCAGCAAAAAGGGCTACATCATATTCAGCATATTCAAGGTGATACGACGCTCTGGACTGATTTATACCTCTTGACAAACGATTATCCAGTCTATCGCATCAGCTGTAGGGGAAGTAAGCAACCTTGAACACCAATTACTTCAAAAGATTCCGTCAGTTCCCTATATACCCAGACCTGTGCTGACGTACGCTCACAAAATGCCTTTAAAGACGAATGATCTTCTCTGGAACACGTCGCGTGCCATCACCCTCCAAAGCATTTATCAATTGAATCGAAGGCAGCTGCAAAGTGTCAATGAAACAGTCGATGAAACAGCGGGTTGCAAATATTTGAAGCAATGTTCCAACACCTCTCTTAATGTCTGGTCAGTACAACCATGCCCAGGTCTAAATCCAGTTTGATTAGGGCTCATCCTGCTGTCCCGTACTTCCATAAGTCTACTGAGTAAAAAGAAAGCGAAAATCTTCGCTGAGACGTATAATAGACTGATTTCTCGATAATTGTCGCATTATGTCCTGCCATCTTTCTTGAAAATAGAGAGCAAACTTGCTTTGCTCCAGTCATCTGATATTTCTTTTTCCCATGCCAGAGAGTCAATTTGTTGAAGATGTACAACATTTGAAGAGTTCAGTACGAAGGCCATCTTCTCCCTGAGTCTTATTGACCTTAAGCTTATCGATAACAGATATTATTTCTTCTTCTGGTCGAAAACTGTTGCAAGCATATGGTTCAGCGAATGTATATCAGGTACTGTTATATCAGGGACAACAGATGGCGCTCATAATTAAGTTTGGTCTTAAAGAATTCTTTCCATCTTATAAGGCATCCTTAATATTCTTGATTAGCACGCCATTGCTATCCCTTACCATTTCACTAATCGTTCCCGAATTATAGTTGCTTTATGAAGAAGGCAGAATTTTCTATTATCGCCTAATCGAGCCGCCGTCTCCGTTCTCAAAGCGATATCGGTAGTGATAGTGATTTCTATCCCACCGTGCTGGTATTATTTCTTCGAAGCATCTAATCAGAATCATCTGACCTGACATTCATGCTTTGGCTGCTTTTTCAAACAGTTGGACAATTGCTTCCGTTACCCAACTCGCACATCTCCTACTAATATGCCCTAGAGTGGAAGTGGCTGACTTTCGGAAACATTCCTTTAGTTGGAACCAGTATTCATTTGCAGTTCCAGCTATTAGGTATAGGAAAGAAGGAGCAAACAATAATAATAATTTTTGGTTATTTCTGATTCCTTATCGACAAATTTACCGATTATAGAACTGCGTTGAATAATCATTAAAATCTTCTATGTTCTATGAAATTTTTATCTAATGAGGTTACCTTAGTTTTCTTTTTTACTTTCGAATTAGCTGAATAGTTTGTACAATATTTTTTTCGTTAGAAATTAAGTAAAACAAAAATATAATTTCGGAAAAATTGCAAAAAAAAATAGCCGTTAATCATTCCATTCACATCCAAAAGTTTTGCATCGTTTATTCGCAACCATAAGTTTTCATCACTGCATCATTCGATTCACTGCCATAAATTTAACAGACCACGAAATTCCGTCCATTAAAATCGATCTAAGAAATTCCAAATTTGATTCTCAATTCTGTTTTTTTTCCGACTTTTGCGATTAGATTCACTTTTATTTAATCCGCATTTATCATTCCTTTCATGCCTTTAATGTTATTAATGAACTGATGAAGTCTTTATTAATAATAATAATTTGAATTCCATGAAACGAATTGGATTTTTTTTGCTATTTTAATAATGTTCGATTGCGTGGATGTCTCTTTTTTGCTCAAATTCTTTTAATTCTTTATTCATTCTTTAGATATTAATTATTTTAAAATTTTAGCACACAATTAAGTTAATCATAATTGTTTTTCTTTTCGGTAAATAAGAATATTAATAGTCTACGCATAATATAAATAATCGCGAAAAGGCTAGTTGGCTCCCATTTACCATTGAAATTGGATTCATTCATGTTTCCTATTATTTAGCTTTTTTCTCCAAATTTCCCGTTCTTTTAGATTTATTATTCAAATTGTATTGCTATTATATTCATGATTCATACATATTAGATGAATCTTTTTACTGGGCAATGAACAGATTTCCTTAAAGTTTATAACTTCGCTAATCTGCAATATCGTTCTCAATAAAAAAATACCTGGCCGCTATGTTGGAGAAAAGAAAATAGTCGGATAGTTTCGCTCAGATCATTGTTAAGAGTTGCAATTTGAATCCTTAGACATGAGTACTATTAAAAATTCGGTTGTTGTTATCGACCCATTTTTTTTCGCCAGTTGTCTAACAAAAATTTCTCATCAGTATAATAGGAAATGGTGGGTACTAACCATTTACTTGCTTAACCAATTGATAAACTGAACTGAGTGAATTTTTTAATATTCCAAATATTTTTTAGATGGAAGTACTCAAAAAAATTATATCTTTTTTATTTCTTATCCATACTTCGAGTCGAGTGACGAGAAAAAAACTAGTTTTATTGGCCAAAGCGTAATTTTTTGCTTTTGTCATAGGTGAATCCTTTGAGATTTTCCAAAATGTATTCATTTTCTTATTATTAAAATAAAACTTTTTTAAATTTAATTAAACTTTTCGCCTAATATGTTTTACTTAATATGTCGTCTCATTAAATTAATTATTATTGAGAACGATTAGTTCTAAAAGATTATATTTCATATTATTTGTTTTAGGATATCCTTTCCTTTATATGATGGATTTGATGAATTTTTATATGATTTCGCAATAATTTAAATTATACAGACATTTTTTTCGAATGATGAAAATTTAAAAACAATAAGATTCAAAAATTTTTCATGAGATTAACTCGAAAAATCACCGCTCAGCACCGTCTTGATCTTGTAAAAGAATGCTTCTGCCAGGAGCACAATGAACGCCACAACGATAGAAAAAATGATCTCAGCAATATTTTGACCGTACATATCTTGCATGAATCCCAATAAAAATATTCTCATCCTCAAAAAATATTCGCAGTAAAATTTATGCTATTGCGATTGCAATCTCAAGTAGCACGAGTTTAAGCCATTTGACTGGACTGAATCTTCCAAAATTAAAAACCATAGAACTACGTATAGCAGTGCCGGATTAAACAATAATTAAAATTACAATATAATTTTTTGGAAATTGGCCAATGTTCTTTATTCTTTTTAAAAAGCTTGGATTTATACATTATCTAGCGGTTATCTTAAATGCTTAAATACTTCATAAAATATAGAAAAGAAAAAATTTAAGGATGTGATTGTGTAATTAACCTCGTTTTATTAGTCATTTAATTATGATATTAGTAGCAAAAATTTTACATATCTAAAGTTGAACATGCTTCCTCGACTAAAGCAACCAACAAACCTTTCAGAGCCAAGTTTTCCTCGATTTAATCTATTTATTTTCTTTTGACACTCATATTTGTTGAAAAAACCACTTTAAATTTGAATTTTCAGTTAAAAACAATATTCTTAGGATATATTGAAGGAGGAAAACGATTTGAGACAAGAACTTCATCCCAGCCCTTTCTGTCCTTTATTCATCTATATTTAATCGCCGAATTGCCGAAATTATGTTCGAACTTAATTTAACCGTTGTTCAAATAGTTTATATATTTATTACAATCGTTGGTGTTGTTGGTAATGTTATTATTCTTATCGTATTTGGTATTAGTCGGAACCTCCAAACTAGGTTATTATATTTTTTGAAATATATATAATAATAACGACTGGAAAAGTCCACAAGCAATTGAGCGAGACACCCATTATATTTATTTATTTTTCTATAAAAGTTATCATGCAAAAAAAAAACGAGCGATTATTATAAGGCACTCATGAAAATAAAAAACAATCTGAAAATTTCTGGATTTCATTTTAAAACCACTAAAACGAAGGAATCCTTTTTTCTCAAAAAAATCCGTTAAAAAAATTTAAAAATTTAACTAATTTTACCATGGAAAATTAATTGAGAAGCCAATATAAATAACAATAATAATAATAGACGAGATTTTTTTTCTCCTTTTTATTTTATTTAATTTTTGCAATTTTTAGCACAAACGCTTTAATAATGAATTTGGCGTTTGCCGATTTGATGTTTCTTATATTTTGCGTACCATTCACAGCGATAAGCTATGCAAAACCATGGCCTTTTCCTGACACGATATGTTATATGACCATTTATTTACAATATGTTACTGCATATGCATCCGTATGGACATTGGTTATTCTTGCTTTCGACAGATTTTTGGTTAAAATTATTTCCTTTCAAATAAAAATGTTTTTATTTTTATTCATCATATTAGAATTGTTTGAAGTCATTAATTAAGTTAATTCGATCTATGAAAACATAAATTTTTTTCAGAAATCAACGAATCGAATCATTTAAAAAATATTTTTAAAAAATTACCACTGAAAATCTTTCGAATCAACGATTTTGAAATTAATTTATGGTAGCATTTATGGTAGCACTTAAAAAAAAAGGAATTTCATTATCAATATATCACAAGAAAAGTTATTAAGGCTGTTGTTTGCCCGATTAGTGCCATTAGTTTGCGCAATATACGCAATGTTATTGGTATTTGTGTGCTTATGTGGATAACGATATTGTTATGCAATTTGCCATCGTTAAGAAATATTGGCGTACTTCGATATGAAATTCAAGTTCGATTCACGTATTCCTTCATATTTTTTCAGCTGAGACATTTCGTTAGAGAGCACTGCAACATAATATTTTATCAGGAAATGACAAATATTTCGAGATTTGATATATTTTTTTAAGGCCTACAATAAAATAAAATTCGTTTCAAACTGGCAATCTGTCATTTTATATTTAAAGTATTAAAAAAGCAATTAAATGACCGTTTCGATACCAAAATTAATTCATTTTTGTTTTTGTTAAATCATTCTGTTTAATTTAATTTCATTTCATTTCACTAAATAATTTCATTTGTTAAAGCTAAAATTTGAAAAAACCACTCCATCTTTGGCGATTTTTCATTATATATCAGCTTTTTTTCAAAATTTTTCTACAAGTTAACGATTTTTTTAACGAAAATAGAATATAATTACTTGTGTAAAATTTGAAATTATTCAGATTATTGAGCTTAAGTAATTAGCATTATTCACTTCTCGTTGCATTCTATTAATTAAACTATTAATAGAATGAAACAGTTTTATGCTGTTTTATGCGTGAGTCATCTGAGGATTGTTGGGTCTCCAGCATCACTCAAAATATTATCAAATTATTGAAAAATGATAAAATATTATATGAAGGCACAAATTTTAATTTGACCCCTATCACATTCAATTTGCCACTGAATTTTGGCCATTACCCTTCTTTTTTTCTAAATTTTTGCAAAATTGACCAATAAGGTGCATTAATGAGCGTCATCTATCGAGTGTTAAAAATCCTTTAGCTAAATGTTAACCTAAATTTAACCTAAATTTTATTATTGCAATTATTTTTAAATTAAATCAATTATCTTTAAAAATATTAAGGATGAACAACTAGGGACTTGTGTCGATTCGATACCAATTGCTTTAACTAATGCTACAAAGGTGAGTGCTGTCATTTTAAAACAAAAATTTCCTTTTCGAAATTATAAAATAGTAATGGTAATCAGTGGATTTTTTTATTTGTAGGCTAATTTATTAGTAAATATATCATAAAATATTATTTTTCTAATTAGCTTTTCAATTTTTAACGTAAAAAAGCCGATGAATTTCAAACAAATGAAACGCTTAATGAATAATTGAAAATTTGAAAAAAAAATTAATGATCCGGAATTTTTATTTGCGAGAAGATTTGTTGATGATTTGCATTGAGATTCATTATAATCAAAATACATCATATCATATATAATATAACTATAACAATTACAAATGCGAAACTTTTTTTTGAACAAAAGAAAATCTCTTCTCTCTTCAGCTCTTCGAAGCTTAAATTTAAAGTTTTTTCTCCAAGCTAATTAAAGTTATTAAAAAGATTTCCCTTTCTCAGACCATTTACATAATTTTATTGTAATTTTATTTTTATTTATGCAAAAAAAGCGTATTTTTGGTGATTGAAAATGAGATTAATGGATATGGATGCACCAACTCGAATCATTCTTAATCCTTCACTTGACATTTGGATCCTTTATTCTTGATTATTGAAAAGAATAAATAATTAGCATAATAATATTAGTAACGATATTCGTAACAACACTTTCAGGTGGATGCGCTAATATTTTATATGAGTTTTAATGTTTTTGCATATCTTTTGCCATTAGGAATCATTTCGATATTTTATATATTAATGGTGAAGAGGTTGTGGAAGAAGAAAGGTGATTTGAAGATATCTAAGGAAGCGTTCAGGTCGGTTAAATTAGGAACATCTTATTTATATCTTATTTAGTCACCTATCAGCCGTCAAAAAATATTCATTGTTTTAAAAAACATATCTTAAGGAAAGAGAGAGGAGAAAGAAAATAACTGGTGATCCAAAATGTTTATCCGAATCAAATTTGGATCCAATATCCAATTAATTAATTTTTTATATTTCCCAAAATAATTTTAATTTGAGACAATATTATTTTCTTTTTATCAAAAAAAACTGAAAATCTTTCATTCATTAAAATATAAAATTTAATTAAAACTGAAATTCTTATTAGAAATTCTTTACGTCTAATACTTACGGTAACTTAGGAACAACTTTAAAGTATCGAAATATTGAAACTGGATTGCATTAATAAATAATAATAACAGATAAAAACATCGCCAAAAAAAAGAATTGAATTTAGAATAAAACGTCGAATAACAAAGCTTGTGTGGCTTATCATCTTAACATTTGCTATTTGTTGGTTACCACAGAATATTCGTTTTGCACTGAAAGCAATTTACTATCCGAGCCCAATATTTTGGGAAAAATATGATAATGAGTTCTTTTTTGCTATGCAGATAGCTATTCAACTTCTCGCTTATGCAAATAGGTTGAATTCTAAGATTATTTTGCTCTTTTTTTATAAATTGACGCAAAGCTCACAAGATTTCCTAATGGTGTCCAAGTTGAAATTTCCTTCTCTTCTCAAAGCTCAAAAATATCCACAAATGTCATTGATAAGGATTTTTAATTCTTAATTCTTAAAGGTCTTATTTAATTGAACTGGATGGTTTTTTTATTCTAAATCAATAAATAGGATTAATGGTGTATTTTAATTGCAGTTGCATGAACCCTATTTTATATGGCGTTCTGTCGGAGAGATTTCGTGATTTCTATCGTCAAATCCGTCTTCGACGATTCGGTAGATCAGTTGATAGAAAATTTATTTCAGAAACTAGGTAAAGCTCTTTATTTTTGAAGCATTCATGAAAAAAATATATAAAAAATGATACAGTGTTTTAATGTATCATTTGCGAGATGGTAAAGGCTGTAATCTGCAACTTGAAATTTATTTGCCAATGGAAATATAAAATCTATTTTTTATAAAGTTGCTTGAAGTAACATAGGAAAAATATATAGCAAAAAAAAGACTTTGGCCAACTGCAACTTCTTCTAATAGCTCTTATCATTACTGGTTAAGCTGGTTCCACTGGCTACAAGGGTAAGACATTTCCAAGGTACACAATCTTCGACAGCCATCGTCGACAGTAATAAAAGCCACTCTTTCTTCCATCCTCTATATCCATATACTGCTAGTCCTTATATGTTTAAAATGACCAAGTCAGTCCAGGTCTTGATTGGCACACCTAGCTTTTGACGCCACTCACCACACGGTTTATCAAATAATATAAATGTCAATTCTTGTGGTAGGCGAGCGTGCCCCAACCTGCGAAAATGAAGTTCTGCGATGGTATTGTTAATGCAAATGGTATTTGAACGAAGGTGGATGCGATCAAATGAGGTTTTATCTACTCGGCGAATCCGCAAAATGTACCTTAGTTGTGAGTCTTTGGCAGACCTCTTAATATCCTCCACTCTCACTGGCCATATCTTGTAACCACATAACAAAATCGAATGAATTATGGCTATATAAAAACGGACTTTAGTTTTTATGGTGATCTCGTGACGGCTCCATAAAGATTTCGTCAACCGTATATCATATATCACATATAACGTGTGTCGATATAAAAAAATAAGTAAATTCCTTAGATGAATTTAGAAGAACGCATTTCTATCTGCCTTATCCGGGTTGTGATTTCGCCTTTTGTCTGGCCATTCGGTATTAGAGTGGATCCAAGGCATTTAAAATCAGGCACTTCCTCAGTCGGCAATGAGTGAAAGAAGGGTAAAAGGAGGTTTTCTATCAGCTTCTTATATATAAGACGAAAAGGCTTTTGTTTTACTCATACTGCGTCCGATTCTGCAGTTGCTGACTTATTATTTAGCATTATTTGCATTTCGTCAGCAAAAAGGACTATATAATCAACGTATATCAAGGTTTGTAACTATGCTCTGGATTGATTTACATAGCTTTTGAGTGCCGACAAGCGATTTTATTATCCAATCTATTACATAGTTGAATATTGTAGGGGAAAGGACGCAACCCTGATGGACACCTGGTCTTATTTCGAAGGAGTCTATCAGTTTTCCATATGCACAGACCTGAGCCGATGTACGCTCATAAAATACCTTTATGATCTTGATCTTCTCTGAAACACCGTAGCATTCCATCATCCTCCAAAGCATTACCTTATGAAATGAATCGAAGGCAACTGCAAAACCGATGAAACATATAACGGTGGGTTGCAGATATTTGAAGCGATCTTTCTTAATGTGAATATCTGGTCAGCACAACCATGCTCAGGTCTGAATCCAGCTTGATTAGGACGCATCCTGCTGTCCCGTACTTCCACAAATCTATTGAGAAAAAGGGAAGTCTAATATGCTGATTCTTCGACAATTGTCGCAGTATGTCCTGTCATCTTTCTTGAAAATTGGAAGCAGAATTGCTTTGCGCCAATCTGGTATTTCTTTCTTTCTTCCATACTAGAAAGTAAATTTTTTGAAGGCTAATTATAAAGGACGATGGATAACATTTGAACCTTAAGATCACCTCCTGGAGTCTTATTGGCCTTAAGCTTATCTTATAGATGCCCAAACGAAGCAATAATCGATGACTAATCAATAATATTAAATGTATTAATGTATGTAATTAATTGATTAATGTATGTAATTAATTACTTGTAACAATATATGTTATAATTAATTAAATAAATTATAACTTTAAACCATGATGAATATGCAAATATTTAAGACTATAAAAAGCAATTATGTTTAGAACTACAGTTGATCGCGGAAAGTTGACTTTATAATAAAAGCCTTCCATTCATGCTTCTTTCTCCTTAAAAAACAACTTTGAAATTTAGGATAATTTTTGCTGGCCAAATTTCTGATGCATTCTTGTCTTTATAATATATTTTTGTTGTTTAAATCTGACATATATTTACTTATATAATGTGCAATCAAGCAAAACACAATTAATTAATTAAAAATATGACAAAAACTCATTCTTTTTTTGAGCAAACAATTTCTTTCTTTCGAAAAATATTTTTCGACTTCGATTAATTCTCAAATGCTATGCGCTTAAATAGATGGAATTTACAGACTTTGAAAAGCCGTTTTTTACAGACGAATAGATAACATGAAGAAAAGTGAACGCCGTCAAAGAATCATGGATAACGAAATAGAAATTTTTGCGAACAAATAAAGACAGTCTTTCTAACAGTCAAAGAATGCGGAAACAAATTTGCCTTTATTATTTCCTTTCTTGTTGAATGTTGTAAAAATATAAATAATAGCACAAAACTTTTTCTTCAAACTTTTTATTTCTGTTTTGTATGGCTCCAATCGTAATTTCCTTAGAATATTATTTAGGAACTCATGGATCCTTAATTTCGATTTTCACTCTTAGGTTTTCCCCTATCGAAGATGGTTTTAGGCCAGTTTTTTCGAAACTTCGCGCTCAGTCGAAAATCCAAATAAAGCATTGCAAGCTTCAAAAAATGACTGGAAGGCAGAATGAAAATTCCATGCAAGAGGTGAAGTCATACACACCTTAAATATTAAAGATCGATTATATGTATATGTATATATTGTACTTACATGTGTATTATTTAATCTATTGGTTTTTCAAATTCTCGAACAAAAACGACGAAAAACAATATTTAAAACGATCAATTGTTTTCATGAGGAAAACGAAAAATCCGTTGAAAAAAGGGAATAAAACCGAGTAAGCTTGATGAAGAATTTTCTAAAATTTAAATTGTTTACGTATTTGAAAAAAATATTGCATATTTCGACAATTTTTTATGAAAATAAGATTGCTAAACCAAGGCTCACAGCACTGGCTACTAGGCTAAAGAGGCACATAGGAGAAGCAGGGCCTAAAAAGATAAATATCCTGTTCTCGAAGGAACCGTCCAAGGTGTAACCGTCCAAAGTGCAAGGTGTGTACTCTCAATCTCAGCGTAGTAATAAGGTAACAAAGCCATCAATAGTGGAAACTATACAATATTGAAAGAATATATCGGAGAGACAAAAAATTCATAACATCAATGCAGCAAGAACTGAGAATAAATCACAGCAACGTTCCACAGCAAGAATCAGCAACAATTATACTTGTTGACATCCAACAGCGACTTAAAAATATGTGAAGTTGAATAGCACATGGTCCTGACATGATTCACACCTAATGGCTAAAGAAACTAAAACTAATAGCAGATCGTCAAATGACACAGATGAACCAGCTGCTTGTGGCAGGCTCTCATCTAGACTGGATAACACAAGTAAAGACGGTGTTAATCATGAAAAATCCTCAAAAAAGAACGGAGGCTCTAATCACCAGCTGCTCATAAGGCAGTCGCTCTAGACTCAAAATTTAGGCAGACCAATCTATGTACAGCTTCGATTGACTATAAGAAAGCTTACGACTCAATACCACATACATGGATTATAAATGTCTGGCACTATACAAAGTCGACCCTAAAGACCCTAAGACCCTAAAGACGTTCACTGAGTACTCAGTGGGACTGTGGAAAACACTTGAAATCAACTTGTTATAAGACCTTGCTATCGCATGGTAACCACGATGAGGAGGCAAGGACGATTGCAAGATTTAAGTAAATCACTAAATGACAATACAATCTTGAACAACCAGCTCAATGGGAAGAATAAAGTCCATGCCATAAATATGTGTGCCCCACCAATCATTGGGTATAAGCTGACATTGTAAAATAGACAAAGAAAAATATGGACGACGCTGATGCAAAGACAGGGAAACTCCTCACAATACACAGAAAATTCCACCGTAAGTTCAATATCCAGCAGCAGAAAAGGAAGAAAAGGGCTTGATGAGTGTGAAAACCACTATCTTGAACGAAATTAGAAACTAAAAAGAGACTTCTTCATTAATTATTATAGCACAGGAACAAGCATTAACATCAGATCCATCGAAACAAGGATCCACCACACTAGGCAGGACGTTAGATGCAAATTACAAGCCCCAGAAACAATCCACCACATAGTGGAAAGATATAAAATGCAAACAGGAAGAACATGCACTGAAAGGCATAACCATGCATAGCTGGCACTATATATACGAACCTGCTCGGTATATATATATATATTTAGACCCACCTAAGACTAAATGGGAGATAATCGATAAATAAGGCGAAAATCCTGTGGTTGTTATATATTCTCTATTCTAGATAGAACGATACTTTATCACTCTTTTGTTTGTTAATTCTTAATGCATAGAATTCAGCAAAAAAAAGAAAGTAATGAGAAAAAGTAGAAAAACAAATACTTTAAAATAACAAATTATATATAAATCATATAAACCATGTATATAAAACAGAAAACAAAACGGAAAAAATCAAGAAAAAAAAAGCATAAAATATCTAAAATCCGCAGCCAAATTCGCAAAAAATGCTTAAGAAATCAATATACTCCGTATCTTCACAAAAATTTTAGAATAAAACTAATAAACTAATGACCATCGAAAGGAATAAAATAACATTGGGAGAAGTAAAGTCCAAATCACGAGTGAAAAACAAATATTAAAGAATGAGAGATAGCATATATTATTTGATAGTAATCATTATTAAATATTGAACGATAAAAGTGAAAAATACATAAGTTATTAAAAACAACAACAGCATCAATCTAACATGATGATTTAATATATCTTTGATAATGCCAAGGCTCTTTTTTCAGTGTTTTGGAATAATGCTCTAATTAACCGTCCCAGATCATTGGCATTAAACCACTGTGCTAAAGGACCTTTTCCATCGCACCAACGATCAAGAATATCCTAAAATAAATAATGATGAATTATAAAGCCAAAATCTATTGCGCTACAAAACAAATAAAATTTCCGCAAACAGCCAGATACATAAAAACCTATCGAAGAACTATAACTTCCTGAAAAAATTGTAAATCTTACTTTTAAAGACGCATTCAAAATAAAAACAAGTTCTTTGATATGGAAATAAGATTTCTGTGAAAATATGTGGATAAGTGTTGGTTTTCCTTCCTCGAACTGTTATAAATATATTTAAGTTATAAATATATTTTATTTGTTAAAATTTTATTTATTACATTTAAATTACTTGATACAAAGTTACATAAACTGTGATTACATTAAGATTAGAATAAGTATAAAACAAAAAGTGCAGGAATTGAATTTAAGAGTTTAAATTAGAATTAAAAATTAAAGAAAATAAGAATTCAAGAAAATAGTGAAAAAACATACTACTAAAAGTTCTTCGACAGCTTTTATCATATTTTCTAATACTCTGGTCATAACTTTAGCATCAAGCTCTCGAATATCTTCCATAGCGATTATTTTCTTCGCAAGAGTGTCGAAAAAAAATGACGCTAGATTGCCAAGACATTTTGAAAGAATTGTTGGACAAAATATCTAGTAAATTGCCGGATAAAATAATGACCAAAATTTGATTAATTGATATATGGCGAAAAAAATAAATGAATAAAGTGAATAAAGTGTAAACATTATGTGTGACGAATTCCTTTATCAACTTAGCAATTTCAATGAAATTTTAAAAAATAAGATTAGGAAAATTATGCCAGTGATTGGATGACCGATTCTCTTTATCTTTATCTTTAAAGAATATTCTCTTACTTCCTTCCAAACATTAGAAATTTGTTGAAGATAAAGAACACAGGCATTCAAAGTCCTTTCACATTTGCCGCTCTGATAAAAATCATCCAAACCGATAAACACTGGAAAATATCCAAAGCATATAGAGAAACAATTTTAATCAATAAAAAAATGGAAATATCGCAAAAGCAATAATAAAAGTAGAAAAAAAAATTATGCATCATATTTTTAATTCTTCATAAAAAAATTGAAAATTCATATGCAGAAAATTCATATAAAAATTGACAAGAAATGATAAAAAAAAACATCCATCGACGGACAAAATGTTCGACAACTGTCGACGGCACTGAGCAATAACCGCTTCCAATGAATTAGATGCCAATTTTCTTAACTTTGGAATTGCATTAATAAATGTTATTTCGCAGTGTGTAGCCTGTTGGAAAAATATTTGATTAACTACTTCATATATCTCAAAAAGTTCAATAAATTTTTCAATAAATAAATAAAAAAAATTAAGAAATTAAGCTAAATGAAAAAATTTAGTTGAAATATTATGATTTAAGTAAAACCTTTAATGCAACTGCGATTTTGGGTTCAACAGAAATCGAAGCTATCATTATTCGATGGCTTATATAATAGCAATTATTATAGAAAATAGCTGCAAAATTAAAGCTTTCCTTCATGACACCCAAAAGTGAAAAATAAAAATCGATTTCGTCTTCAACTCAGAAAAATATAAGTATAACCACAACTAACAGCAAGTAAAAATATAAGTATAACCACAACTAACAGCAAGTATAACCACAACTAACAGCAAGTTGAAAAGTTGAAATAACCCAAAGAAAAATGTCATGATGGGTGCGAAAAGAATATTTACCTGCCATTTGTGGTAAAGTGGTAATTTCATTATGATGCTTTAGTGGTGCAAGAGATATAAATAGATCTATAATATTGCGAGCAGTCTGAAGCATTTTAAGCATTTTAGATTCTGATTCCGTTGTAGCTACAGACTGTAAAACCGACTGCAACAAATCGACCAGTTCTACACATGAAGAACTGAAAATTTTCGCAAAAATTTTAAAAGACCTCTTCTTTTTATTCAACTTATGGCGTGAAGTAAAAAATAAAAAGAATGATAAAAAAGGAACTAACCTCACTTTACAGGAAAGAAATCGCAATAATTTTGGATATTGTTCATCACATTTCATACCTTTTTCATGATTAGCCAAATGCTCTTTGGAAAATTCTTTCACAGTCTGTAGTTCTTCATCTTGGTCATACCCAACCTAAATCATTCATTAATGCTTAATGTACAGACTATAGATTAATAAATGCTGAAGATCCAAATTATTCTTCAAAAGGATACATTCAATTATTATGCTAAAATATATTAAATAAAAATAAATTCTATAAATAGCGAACAAAAAAATCATAAAAAAATAAAAATATAAAAAAATAAAAATATAAAATTATAAAAAATAAAAGTTTCACCATGAAAACTTTTCCCAACAGAAGATTCAATAAACGATTTACTGAAAAAAACTAAAAAATGCAATATGGTACAGAAATCAGAACAAACCGTTGCTAACTCGGTGTAAGGCTTACAAATTAATGATCGTGCACTAGCAAGTATTTTTTTGCAACGACGATCAATGAAAATTGTTTCATAATCTTCAGCGAATGTTTCAAATGAAACAGTGTCCTCTGTGAAAAAGCCCATTTCCTAAAATTTAAAATGGCTACGAAAAATGCAGTGAAGAAAAATTTTAAATTCAATATTTTTAATTTAGTTTAAATTCAAATTCAAATTGTGGAAATTTAAAAAAATTGCTTCAATAAGGTTATTTTAATTTCATTACTATTGTAATACTATATTATCTTTTATGAAATATTTATTATTCAAGCTTCTTATATTCCTACAAAATTATTTCTAAAAATCGTATAAAACCGTAAAACATGATAACATACCACTAAACTTTTGTGAAATTGCTTTGCTTCATCAAGCAACTTATCGAAAAATGGCATTTGTTCTGGATCATAAGGGACGGCTGGAACAAGACATTCACGAACTATAGTACTAATGAGTTCATTTGACATCTTTTTGCCGATTAGTTGTACAAAAGGTAATCCTTTAACGTGAATTGATTCAAATTCGTGACAAAAGTGTTTGAAGAAAGATTTAAGTGATCTGGAATCAAAGAATTATGGAAATAAAAAATAAACAAATAAATAAGGCAGGGAAAATACAGAGAAAAAAGTGATTCGAGAAAAGTTTTACTTTATTCCTATCTTCTATTACTGAAGCATATCTAGCATACTAATTGCTTAAAAAAATCAGCGATTTTTTATAAAAAATAATGAAACAAACAAGAAAATAGATTTGCTTTTATCCTTTGATTCCTTGTTTCCAGAAACCTTTCGCATAATATATTCCTTGCATGATATTGTGAACTTTCTTTCTCCCATATATGTGAATACTTCAAGTGGATTAGAACTTTTAATAATTGGCAAACAGAAATGCTGCAAAATCGACGTGCACAGCTGAGTAATTTTTTCATCAAGCATATTACAAATATGCAATGCGGTTAGCTTCTAAAAAAAATGATGAAATAGATAAAATTAAATGTCGGAAAAAAATGATGCACAGAAATCCATAGTAAAACTAGATATCAGAGAATTAAGAATACGAAAAATGGAAACCTCTTCTATATCGTTTTCAACTGAAATATCCAAAGTCATGACTTCACCATTATTTAGCATTCCAAATGAGAATAAATTAGTCCAAAATGTATTTAAGGTATACTGCAGCGCTATTCGCATAGTTCCTATTTCATCTTGTATTGAACAAAAAATTTTTTCCAGAAATATACTTTCAATATCGGCTTCATCGTTCTAGAAAAGCGAATTTGGCTGAAAATTCGGCCTAAATATTCAAACAAATCTAGAGATATAGCGATCACTTTGATTGGATACGTTTAATCATTTTATTCTTGAATAAAAAAACCTTTCGTAGTTCTTGTAATTTCTTTGTTAAATCAATGATGAGATTCGTATTGATCAAAACATTATCGTTAAACGATGGCAACCAAAGCTGAGCGATAATTTCTTCAATACTTAATATATTCTTTACTTTTTCCTTGCATTGTTTTAAGACTGAGAAACGTGATGAAAGTGAGGCCTATAATGATTATTCAATAATTATAATATAATAATTACAATAATTTCGTTAAAAAATTTTCTTGATATAATCCTGATATTTCAAATTTCATTTAAATAAAAACTCTATTTGTTTTGTTTTAATGCTCGATAATGTTCGAGATCTATTTTTGATAAAGATTTATGTTTGAAAAATGATGAAAAAAAAAGAAATTCAAGGAAGATACAAAATAATACGTGAGAATTTAATGCTTTGTCTATATCGTCAGTTTCAAGTGAAATGTTATCTATGGACTGCTGAACAACACTGTTCATTCTTTTCAGATATTCGACGAGAGAACTGTTAAATGACAAATCCGGAATCGCATCTTTATATTTCATTTGCACCATACGACCGATATCAGTTAAAACTGAAAGTTTACAAATAGTAAAGCTTATAAATGCTGATTTTTCTATAAAAATGCTCTAAATTCTAAAATCAAACTTCAATACTAATTTAAATCCGCTTAAATCGATAAATTATAAATAAATTATAAATCGATAATCGATAAATGAAATTCAATTTCCTAGTTAAATCATAAATTTCTAATAGTTTAAGAAAAGCCTCTCACCAATTATTTCACCTCGAATATATCTTAAAGAAGGCAATCGGCAAAATAATGAACTAATCGAGCAATCTCACAGGAACCGATCCTTAAACTAATTGGGTTTATCAAAGATCCCAAAAAAATCTAAAATGCTAACTACTGTATGTTCAAATAGTTTATGGCTACAAATCTGGACTTGAAATAAAACAATTTTTTCGCTGAATCTAACAAATATAAACGACCTACTATTTATTCCAAGTCAAATATGAATAAAAGTCGGAATTTGAATCATTAATCCGCCACCTAAGAACTAACTGTGCTAACTACTAATTTCTAAATTTAAAAAAATGATTTTAAGGACATTTTAAGGGTAATTTTCAAGTAAAAGAAACAAAAAGCCAAACTCATAGCCATTTCGTCTTCTAAATCTTTTATTTGCGCATTAATTGCTTCAGTTTCAAATGCTTTTGATAAACCAAGAGTTCGCATTTCCTTGCATTCGCGAGCGCTATCCCCTTCATTTTCCATCTTTTATCTCAAAATATTCATTTTTAACCGAAAGTTCGAAAAAAAGAAATACTTTGCATTTATACAAAAGAAATTAGAAATAATGAAAAAAAATTAAAAATTAAACTAAAATTATGAATTAAAAAATTGGTTATACAAACGCCTCAATAAAATGAAGAAAATTCTTTGATATAAATTGAACAATTCAAATAATCAAAGAATTATCAAAAAGTGGTGGCATAATACGAAAATGATTCGATAATGTTATAACAGTTACAATACGGTTTAGCAATTATAATACGGTTGGTAAAAAAAATGTGGCAGAAAATCAAGAAAAAAGTTGCAAAAAATCGCTGCAAAACAGAAGAAGTAATATATGCAAATTACTTTGAAAAAAGTCCTGCTGCTAATAATAAAATAGCAAAGTACGGATTTAAAAGTGCCAGTACATATATATCGGTTTATTCACAAACCAGCGGAATATGGGTAAATTTCGGTTACGTGGATAGCGCCGGTGATATGCTATTCGATAAGGAGATTCGCTCTTTTACGAACTCCTAAACCATTGCATCAACTCTCTTCATCTCTGTGGTCCGCCACATAATCCCCACGTGAGGTCCAATTCGCCGAAAAGTACCAAAGTGCAATAGAATAAACTGGGAACAGCGATAAGCGATTTCGGCTTTCTTTTAACATCGCATACCACTTTCAGGCTCCACTAAGACTCCAAAGTGATAATCACTCGTGATAAGCGATCAGTGATATTCACTGAGCCGACACCTCTCTGCAATAAAATGCGCCCGCCGGTTCAAGGTTTCTTGCGGAAGCGGAGAAGGCGGACGCGAAGTGACTCGCTGTGCTGCAGTCCACGTCCGCTCCGCCTCTCCGCGTTCCTTTTCCGCCGCAGACGCAACCAAATTCTAATTCCTTCACTTTTTTTATTCTACGAATTATTCAGAAATTTTATTTTAGAAAGAAATTCTGAAGTAATTTTTAAAACACAAACAGCAAAGCTTAAATCAACGCCCTCCACCAATAAAACCAAAAATTAAAATTTGAAAACTTTGATTCGTCCACATTGCTAACAAGCGGACAAAGTCCTATAAATCAGCTTTGGGGAAAATAAAGTTTTGTCGAAAAGTGGTAACTAATTCGATTTAATTACGCGTGCCTTTTCTTCAAGATTATTAAAAATGAGGAAAAAACACATTTATTCCAAGGGGAAAACTGATCCAGCCAGCCGGACTCGAACCAGCGACCTAAGGATTACAGCTCCCTACACTCTACAGTCCTCCGCTCTACCAACTGAGCTATGGCTGGACCCGTAAGCGTTGAGAAATAATTATCCCAAGAACTTTATTCATGCAAAGTCTTGGAACTCAAACAATGCTTGTATCGTGAAAAAATAGCAAAAGAACAATTTCGTCGTGGTTGAGAACCATAGCTTCTCGGCATTCCATTTGTCATTTATTATTAGATGCCAATACCTTTGGCCACTTTTGTCTACGACGAACATATGGACATTTTATGGGTCCATCGAGAGGATAAAATATCACATGATCGCATCCACCTTCGCACTTGCATAAATAATGTTATCACAGAGTGTCGCCTTCACTGATTCGGGCACGTTCTCCGTCATCCACCACAGTTGACACACATTTCGTTACTTGCCGAACTCTGTGATGGGTGATGTCAAAAATGAGGTGGGCCAATCAAGACCTGGACTGATACGATTAGAAAAGATCTTGAACATATAAAAAAAGGGATGGCTTCTATTACTGCCGACGATGGCATCAGACTGCGCAACTTGGAAAAGCCTTATACTTGTAGCCAGTGGAGCCAGCTTAACCAGTAATAGTGAGAACTATTAGAAGACTTGCATGTTAATTATTTTTATTCGATATTTAGTGTTAAAATTTACTTGGAAAAGTTGGTTCGAGCTAACTGAGTAAGAATTATAAAATTAAGCGAAAGTTTACGGCTCCAGTTTCATAGTTGCGTGTTATTTCTCCCTCTCTTTATTCGTAGTTTCAACAAATTCGAATAAATTCGTAAGCGTAGTTTTAATGAAGGTCATGAAGGGTCAAGAAGCGAGTTCTTTTTTTCAGGAAGGAGGTTGAAATCGGCTTAATATTCATAGTTTTTCGTATTAATTTTATAATAAATTTATAGAAATTCATGATTAACAATCTACAAATTTAGACAATTTAGGAAATAAAAACACAGGAAATAGTAATTGAGATAACAGGAAAAATAAGATTTTTTATTGCACAGAAATAAATGAAATGAAAATAAAGGAAAAAGTGGAAACCCGTAAGGTATTAAGCATGTAGAATTAATTTTGATTTCGACTTGTTAAAATCCTGAACAACCTTGCATGAAATTAAAGCAATCATTTTCTTGTGAATAACGTCAAAATTCTGCAAAAATCGTCTCCAGCCAGCCGGACTCGAACCAGCGACCTAAGGATTACAGCGCTGCACACTCTACAGTCCTCCGCTCTACCAACTGAGCTATGGCTGGACGTCCTAGTGCAGACAAAAATTTCTTTCTCACCATTGTTTTCTTCTTTGTCTCATTGAATTTTTGGAATTTGGCAGCATTCGAGTTTTACATAATTAGATTTCGTAGGTAAAAATTTAAACGACCTAGTAATGAAAAGTTGCTAAGACGGTTCCAGTCGAACCGTTCTAATCCCAGCGAAGTACCACTTTATTCTATCATTCTGCGGAAAAACTCTTTCCAGGTTTTTGGAAGAAAAAAATTCGAATTAATAATTCAGAGTTCATAAAATTCAAAGAAAATATAAAACTTTGCCACACTGAGAAAGGACAGGAATCTAAGAACCAAGATGCCGGATCAGCCGGATTTGAATCATCAGTGTTTCTTCATCTATGAGCTATTCCTCGACTCGGTTTATGTGGTCTCATTTGTAATTTTTTTCTTGAAAGCAAAAGCCAGATTATCTTCTTTTTCTCCATTAGTGGATAGACTGGCTGGCTCTGTTGGTTATAAGCATGAAACCAACCCACCCGATGTCATTCGGGAAAGTCGCTTCTTTTTCCAGTGTTTAGGCCTATGCGTCACTGGACTGCTTACGTTTTCAAAATCTATCACATGGTTTTATTACTCCATGTCCTGAGCCTTCTCGTTTTCATTCATATAGAATATAAGCATTAATTTTTCTGAGCCGTTGAGTAGAGAAAAATGTGGCCTAACCAGCATTGATGACGCTCTATGTTAATTCAATGCAGTTGGCTTCTATCGAATGTGTATGCAATCAAAAGATTTTGTCCATTCATTGGCTAAGCTTCCAGTGCACTTTGTAATAAAATGGTCAAAATTTCTTCCACGTTCCATTCTCGCAACAGTATAATAGAATTTTGCTCGAAATCTATCAATCTATCAATGATAAAGAGTTCTAATCTTAATCAGTGGATGAACCAATGGGGCGAGAATTTATCAACCAGTTTCAGCGGTCCATCGCGCCATTGATTAGTATATGTATTTTCCATTTCCATTTTGCTATTATATTTTACTATTATATTTCTTTATATTCCACATAACATATTTATTAAAGAACGAAGTCAAATTAGCTATTGCTGGAACATTTTATGCTCACGATAGGCCAAATTACCTGTCGTTAAAAAATCTGAGTGGTGCTGTAGACCCATCTTTACTTCTCCTCTCATGCGATCCCTGTTGATAAAAATCATAAAGCTAGTGGAACAAATTTAACTAGAAATGGTAAGCAAAAACCACTTATTTTAAGGAATGAAATAAAGATAAATTCTTTTGTGATAATTTTTATCCAAAAAATATTTTTAAAAATATTATTCTAGAAAATACTCAAAATAAAATATGTTTTAAACAAAAATTTCTTTAATCAAAAAAAATACAAAAAGGAAATAGAACGAATTGATAAACAATAATAACATTATTTTCATGTATTTCATCGAATGAGGCTTATAGGATCTTTTAGCGCAGATTCGCACAACCACCATTCCGTCTTATTATAAATGAATGAAAAATATGGCAGATATCAAGGACAACGTAGACCATAACAGATTATTGATGCATGCAAAGGACTCTCCGTTCACTCCATGTTTTTGTCGATTCTCTAGGTTTGCCATTTGATTTTTACCATTTTCTATGTGACTTTCCATATTTTTGTAAGAATCCTAAACAAACGCTGATTTTCTTTATTGCTTTGAAACGATTTTATACGTTTTTAGAGTTTAATTAAAAACTTTATTTAAGAACTTTAGTTACACTTTAGTTAAGAAATCAGTTTTTTTTGTTGTTATCAAATATTCCAAGAATATATTTATAAAAACCGAATTCCTACGAAAATTGCCTGATCATTTTAGATGTGTTACATTTGTTTAAGAAAAAGAGTGAAAAATTTACGTTTAACATTTTGCCAATCCTTGCCAAGCGGTCATTTACTTTAAATTCTTGTCCACCATGGCGTTGTTGAAATTCTCGCCAGACACCCTCGTTTAAAGCTTCATTTATTATGTCAGATAAATTTTTTTGAAATAGTTGCATCCATTCTATATTTGGTAAGGCTCCCTCTAAATATTGACGGAATATAATTATAAAATATAATTATAAATATTATATTCAAAATAAGTGATTTAAAATAAGCAGTATAACTTCGCCAATTTTGAAAAAACTTTTCAAACCTTAGAAAAATAAAATTTTTGGAAATAAATAAAAATTATTTTTTTAAGTATCCAAATTCTTCAATTGCCAAAAAAATTTGACAAATTTAATTTTAACATTTGATATTATCGTGGTTCTGTATGTCTATACGGAAAGAAACGCCTTGAAGAAACATTTGATGCCAAACTTCAGAACACCTTTTGGTCAATGAAATTATTAGATATTAGACAAGCTAAGATAAACTTTTCGTAAGTGGGCCAATTTTTTTTTATATATATTTTCAATTACTCGAAAAATATGGTATGTAGGTAGTATATAACGATAGGGATAGACTGCCCAAAGGGCACGTTGTT